CCTTTTCCAGGATAATTGAAAATCTACTCCTGCGGTTTTTCCGTGGTCGAAGTGCTTTCGCTTCTTTCTCTTCCTCCTCTTTCCCTCTACCACTCGAAAACGCGAATTATGCATGCACCCCATCCTCAACGGGGAGACTGAACGTACGGTGGAAAGACCTGTGCCATCCCTATGTTTGATATAACATCACGTGGAATCCCACGTCGAACATTCTGCCACGATATCTCATAAGATTGAATAAAATATCGAATTATTTTCCCCTGTAAATCAATCACGCGTGATCTCGAAATTCAATTTCTCTTAATTTCAAAGTATTCGTTGTACAGTTTGATTAAGGGGAAAAAATATTTATTAAACCTATTTTCCAAGAACAAGATATTACATACGCGTTTATGATATTCATCGATCCTATCAAGGATACAAAATTTGAATATTCCTCTCTTGAGAATTTGGACAATATACGGCCCCGTGGCATGATAAGGATGGCCTACCAACCGCTTATATACGCTAAATGTATAATTTCGCAGGCTAGACAGGTTATTGTAGGCGAAGACAACGATCGAAATAGGCAATATACGATTGTTGGGAAGAACTTGATTGAAAAATGCTGGTCGATATCGACTATGAACCGTCCAATAATATGCCCGATACAAAGTTTTATGGCTTGCCGTACATTCCATGGGGAAATCATCTGGCTGAAATTCCACAGCGAAATTTCAGCCAAGTTTGAACCTCTATCAGCATGATCTCGCATAGAGGATTTGTCGACGTTACGTGATTAATTAATTTAATCTAATGAAACTGTGGAAGAAGGATTACCGAGAATCGATCATTAATATTATCTTGTTGAACGTACATCTGGGCGATCGTCTGATTCGAAATAACCGAACAATGAATTACAACTCTTGGCAATGACTTGAATTGTTAAACCTCCCCCCGTGACGACACTTTATTATATTTGGACACGATACTTTCCTGTTCTACCTACCGTAATTACGCAAGATATTATTTTTCATCGTATGCTCGTTACGCAATTATGTAACGAAGAGAAGCATCCATTACCATCGATACGAGGATCGAAGGACGTTGAACGGTGAAATCGTGTGAAAAGGGTGTGCGGGAAATTATCATGGAGTGGCGAACGAGCACAATAGTGGCGATCCTCGAAAATCCAGGCGTAATTCAACGATGACCCGAGCTTTAAGAGCTTTCGAACGTACACCGTTCCTTCACGAGCATTTTCTCCTCTTCCAAGAGTCCAGATAACCACGCCGTGTTGACTTAACGCCCCGTTCCCATTGTATTTATCTGGCAACGAACACGAGAGCCAACCGGATAATACCGACATTGTGTGTTCACGTGGAATATTGCACACATTTATATGCAACATTGGCGCTTACGTTAACTGTGAATACGCGTGGATACTCCGCTCAACGCTTTGGAAAGCACCACTTGGTGTGCTTGGGGGGACCACGTTCTTTGCGAATCATCCAGAGGGGGAAATATTTAAAGCGAGCGAATTGCTCGTTAGAATAATAACCCTTAGATGGCGAGAGATGAAAAGAAGGAGACGATTAAATGGTTCCTCGAGGTTTTAATCGATCGATATCGAGCGAAAACAAGCGCATTTTAATCTTACCTTGAATACTCCATTTTATCGTTATAATATTTGTAAATTTTCCATTCTTTGTTATCGTTGATTTTTTTTTTATCACTGGTTAAATAATAACAACATAATGACTTGATTTATTTGCAAGGTATGTTAAGTGAAATGTGAAAATATAAAGTTGAACAGTGGAAACGAGAATTTTTGCATATTAGGAAAAAAAAAAATGTGTAGCAAACAAATTAATAATAATATCGAAAATAATAATTTTATTCTATATATATATATATATATAAATAGTTGTGGTACAATTTTAATTTAATTTAATGACTATTAATATAATTAACAATTTCGTAAAGAGGATTTGAACGAGTTTTATTGTAGCTTTGTAATTTCAATACGATGATCGTGAAATCGTAACGCGCCGAATTGTTCATAAATCAATGAAATGACAGTCATTAGCTAGATTTTCTCGTAAATAAAATTAATTCCAATTCCGTCTAACCCAACATTAATGGTATTTCACACTCGACGGTTTCATTGAATTGTGCATTTGCATACTTCATTCTAATTGCTACGTACTTTTAAAAGTTTAATTAAATGCCCCTCCACGTGTCATGTGTCACTGTACGAACGTTCGATCAAAAATTCCTATAATTTTATTCCTTTATTCCCATCAATGTATGATGGTAAAATAAAAATATCATCAAAAATCAAATTAAAAATATAAATTCGAATAAAATCTTTCAACGAATATATTATTTTCGATAAATGTTTCGAAATATTTCTAATCTTGTATTCTTGAACTTGTATTTACGAAAGATCGACAGAGATCAATAATGGAAACTATTGCAAATCGCTCTGCTTCACCGCTATTTCGTTCTTGGACACGTAACCATAAATTTTGATCACTCGACTCGAAGCATCTGTTTCGATCGGATAATTCTCGTTTTGAAAAACCGTAGTGCCTCCCACTCGTAAATTCCGATCAGAATTTACAATTTATAGAGTGACTTTAGCCACGCGCGAACACGTTTTCGAATTACAACTGAGAAACGCGCAAAAATCTCGGCACAATTTATTTCCATGTTCGTTTATTCGCAAAATTCTGTCACGTGCAATATTCTTCTGTTGCAGGAATTGAAAAACCTTTTTATGATGAAATTATTGAAATGTTTTAATATTTTATCGTTAATTATTTATTTTTAGTTGAAATTATTTTCGTATTGTTTGAACAACGGGTCATAAAATATGAAAACATTCATTTTCGTAAGAAAATTTCTGAAACGCAATTAATATTCGATACAGACAACAAAGTTGCTTCTATATAACTATGCATTTTAATCGAGCTATTATCTTTAAAATTTATTTAAAGTAGATATTACATATATATATAACATTATCATCAAAGACATTCTCCTTTAATGATACGTGTCTTATAAGTGGTATGTCAATGTTGAAAATAGAAAAATACTTGAGAAAGCAGAATACTTGGAGTTATCTTTTCGAAAATAAAATTATATTGGAATATTCTGAATCGTTCATCGTGTATTATCGAAATGTTTAATTTATAAAAAAACATTTCTCGTTAGAAAAAAATAAATAAAAGTTTTCTTTTGATTCTAAATAAATAATAAATTGATTTGAAATCGTAGATATTAAATAGAAAATTGTTTCTCGTGAAACATTTGCACGATAGTACAGAGTATATTTTACAGAATTTTTTCACGTGTATAAATTCTGCGTTACATTTTATATTTTTTTCGTTAAATAACATCGTATGTCTTTGACAGTGTTCAGTGATGAAGGAATAAACCGACTGCAACATTTATTTATAGAGGTTGTAAAAGGTTAAATATTCAATTTTTACATACTACATATTTAAAATTTAGATATTGATTGAACCTGAAACTTAGAGACAATAAATTTTAATTTCATCGAATGCTTTTACTCTCGTGTTCTATTTCTCTCTAAAATAAAAATGTTTATTTTGTTACATATTTTCGTGATTCCATTAGAATTAAATATAATGGTACGCATATTGAAGTAGTAATTATCTTCGATGCATGAATAATAATTTTTTTCACAGTATACGACGCACTTCCATCACATTTACGCATGGGCCATGTTAATTTTCATTTAAAACTTTATACGTTCTCATCAACACATAAATTGGTTACGCTTCGGAAAATTTTTATCGATGCTCCAAGTTAAAATAGAGTTCATTATTGCTAAATATCAAATATTGGACTTCATTGGCAGTTTTCCAACAATATAGACGTATTTATGAATTACGAAGAGAAAGTGTAAGAAGTTTTATTTAATTAATCGTACACATCGGATAATTAAACGCTATTTCTAGCGTTCTTCGATCGAAAAAACTCGAAATAATTTTTAAACGGTGCACACGACGATAAACTAATAAACCGGTCGATAGTTTTATAGAACGTTCAAATGATACTTTCGAATGGAAATAGAAAAAACGTTTCATAGCTCTTTGTGTTCAATGGAAAATCGTTTCAATTGGAAGAACAAAAAGAAACGTTTATAGAGACGATACAGTGTTGAAACAATGCCGCAAGTTTTTAACAGTGAAACAGAAAAGGAAAAAAAAAAAAAAAAGGAACGACATTTTCGGTCCTATTTGCCAAGATTTCCCTCCCCCCTTCCCAGTTCTATTTCAAAGAGGACTGAAAGCATGGCGGGCACAGTGTCAGTAGTAAATTTTTTTCCTGATCCGACACGAGCCCCGAGAGAAGAATCCACAAGCCGACAATTACCATCCGTTTGCCTTTAAAGTTTTAAGAATCGTTTCTATTGAAAAATATTGCCTTACATTTAACAATCGAAATCGATTATCGTCGAAGATGCCTATTGGGATCCCAATCGAATTAATTCGATTACATTTCCTTGTTAGAATTTCTAAAACGAGTATCGTTAAATTTTAACGATCGAATGCACGTGTCCCGTCGTTTCAGCGCGATGGTAAACTTTTTTAGTACAGAAAACTATCATATCTAATTTGGTAACACGAAAGTGGAGAGGAACAATAACGCTAGACTCATAAAAAAAAGTTCCTTCGAAATCAATTAATTCGTCCAAGAGTGCGAAGAGAAATAAAACTGGTAAAAATTAATGGTGGCACCAAAGTCGTAAAAATTACGTAAATTCAGTATTGACGTGGTGAGAGAGGCAAAAAATTCTGCACATTTTGACAACGAGACATTTATCGTCATTTTCATATTAACGCAGATTAATCCATTATTTTCCTGTTTTACTTTGTTTCAACGAATCTTCGGGTTTTCGATAAATCGCGACGACAATCGCGCGAAATATCCGGATTTTTTCCTTAATACTCGAAGAGAATATTTAAACGAGCTTTCTTTTTTTACAGGATGTTGGAACGACAGGATTCCACTTGCACCGGTTAAAATGAATCGTAGGGAAGACCCGCTGTTGCGGCAGCATCGCAACCGCTTGCTGCAATTAGCGGAGGTGACAAACATCAAGCCTGGCCGTGGCAGCGGGAAAAGACGAGGCCAGAGGCAGTCGTACGGTTTCGGACCCAGGTCAGTTTGATAAAATATCTCAATCGTAATGGCACGTTGCTTGTTAAAGTTGTTAACGTCTGTTTTTGTACAAAAGTCAAGAGTACAAAGCTCCGAGTTGAACAATTTTTACAATACTTAGGAGAAAATAGCGCATTATTTGCACAAATGATCGACTCGTTCAGGAGAAACATTAGAGAGTAATAAGTATTTTTTGCAACAATTATTTATATTAGGATATTCTTGAAGATATCATTTTTAACGTTTTTTTTTTTTTAAATTCAAAGATGAACAAGAAGCACGAGAAAGGAAACGTGTAATAATAGAGTAACGATCTTAGAAACAGTTTCTGTGTATCGAATTTTTTCCCTCGTTTATATATTCGTCTTCATTACAGCCTCGACTACAATAGATCCCCAAGCCGTCCACATTTTTATCACGATCCGTCCGTTTCTTTCTTACTTTTCCTCTCTCCTTTTCCCTTTTTTAAATCGTTTTTAACGTTTTATTATGAGGAGAAGAAGAGGAAATCTCGGACAAAAATATCAGGGGACAGTAAACTATCCGTGGCTTTCAGCGGGCTTGCATAATTAACCCTTTTAAGCCGGCATTACGCGTGTCGACGTGCGCGACATTGCATTCACCGTGCATTTCACTGATCCGCCTTCTGGCCCATTCTTTGTCTCTCCCTCCCTTTTGTTCCCACCACCATGCTTCTGCTCTTTCACTGTTCCACGCTCACCCTTTTCCCCAATGTCCCTTGACGAAATTCCTTTCACGCGAGAAGAATCTCGACACCCCTGGAGACATCCTCATGAAGAACGACGAAGCTCGCGTATCCTCTATAAATATTAATCGTATTCCACGATTGTTGATTCTTGTCGCGGAGTCGAGTCGAGGATTTTGACTTGCAAACAATCGAGAACACCGTCAAATACGACGGTATCGAGCTCAGAGAAATCGTTATCGACCTGAAATCGTTATCGACAGCATATTATCCGATCGACAGTTGATCGGCATATTAGCAATCGACACCGAACTTTCGATCGTCTATTCATGAATTAGACATTATATACAATTTACATTCATGTGAAAAAAATCCAAATGAAATTGAATCTAATTCTCGATTAAATGAATACTATGAAGTATCGGTCATCTTATACGTGAAAATATAAGCAAAAAATGTAATTCTTTTTTTTTTTTTTTTTTGAGAAAATCGAGATTGAGGTATTATTGTTGAATAAACACATTTCTGATTGAAATATACGTAATTAATAGGAATATGCCGGTGACTTTTAATTAATAAAAAGAAATCGATCTTTCGTACGATTCCAGCAATGGCGGTTCGAGTACCGGTAGCCGCATCACCCTTCAGGATATCGTGAGAAGCGATCCTGGATACACGCCAAACATCGAGCATTTAGTTTTTCCGGAGCGCAAAAGCAGTAATCCGAATCTGGCCAAAACAGCCGAGGAATCGCCGCCAAACAAATCCAAAGTCAATGCAACCACCTCGGGCAGATCTAGGCTCGCTGAAGTGTTCTCCAGGCATTATTCGAGAGGCTCGTCCCAAGACTCTTCCGTTACGTCCAGAAAGAATCACTTAAACGTAAGTGCTTAATAAAATGTTTAATATTTCTTTAAGATTTCTATAAATCTATTCTTCCATCTTTTTTTTCTGTAATATAATCTAAAATATTAACATTCTTTAGATATTTTTAATAGCTAATAATTTTTATCGATCCTGATATCATTCGTTTACAAATTTTAACAATTAAACGAATATAAAACACAATTTCGTCCGAATATCCTGCGATAATAAAAATAGTATTCAACAATGTTTAGCGATCGATCATGTCTCTAATTGTGCTTATCAAGCACAATTGGCAGCTCTTCCTGTTTATCGATATCCCCGGATATGCGATCTTCTTTCCGTCGCACAACAAGCAGGCCTTGGAATTCCGAATAGTTTCGACATTACACTGGACTATCGATATACCCGTAACAATATTAATCGATGATTTTCAAAAATAAAGGAAACGATACAAAACAAAGTTTCGTCGTAGAAACGCGATAAATCCAGTTTAACGGCGGTTGAATTATCGACCCGACCTAGATATTCCACTCGATTTCTATCCTGTTTCGAGGCTCGAGGTCGTTTCAATTTTTCCACGTTAGGTAAACAACCAAGTTGCCGAAAGAAATCGGACGTGCACGCGTAATAAAACACTGCAACGACCTCGATTTCTTCATATTTCTTATCAACGGCGCCAATTTGGTGGCTGGAAGAGAGAGAGAGAGAGAGAGAGAGAGAGAGAGAGAAGAAAAGAAAAAGAAAAAAGAAAACGACGAAGTAGGAACGACGG